AAACTTTCATGTTATGCACACGGACCGATGAATATATTGATATTTGGTTAGTCGAGAGCTGGGAAAAACTCATCGGAATTGTTGAAACCCCTTAGTTTTGTTATTCCCTTATCCAATCACTGCCTCAGGTCATCTCTCGTCTACAATATCTACGATATTCCTCCCTGCGATTTAATTAAACTGTCCACCTTCATCGAACAAACCTCCACAGGGAACAGCTCTCCCGTTATCGTCATGTAACTCAAGCTAACTTGTTCCCAAAGCGATCTCCCTTTACCTTCTCCCTTTACCTTCGCCAGTCATAACCGGCATGACTCAACCACTTCAAGAGGATATCTGGTCGATGAGCACGAGATAATTGGCATGAACAAGACTATGAAACGAGCTAGGGTAGCATAGATGAAAACTGATGTATACTTCAATTTGGATCAGTTAACTAGTTAGCTTTTCACTTATGCATCCTGGTTCGGACCGCTACACTGCTGAGACCGTCTATCACAAATACTGATGGATCATACACTTGCATGACCAAGTGGAATGCTGCAGCTCAAAAGAGGGATCTGTTTTTCTTTCATTCGTGCGATAGGCTAAAACTGAGATCGTGAGTGTGACATTTCAATTCATTCAGGCCAAGATGAATGTCAGTAAAACCAAATGTGTTTGTAAAGACTGTACAACAGCCCAAAATAATTTTCGTCACGTTTCGGGACAGACACGTAGCCGTGGACCTCGTGATTATCGATCGACAAGCAGAAAATCAATTTGATTCCAGGCTCGTTTGCAGACCAATTTCTACGTTGTAAATGCCGGAACCGATGGATCGCGAGGTGATATAAAACATGCGAGAATTTGTTGAAATTCCTCCTTCTGACGGAAGTACTCATATGGTAGGAATGCAGCCATGTATGGTGGGCAATATAAAATATCAGAACGAAGGTCTTGGTTGCAGAAAAACTGAGCTATCCCGAGTATGCCCACATAGAACGCAAGACTCAGAACAATACTAGTTTGAGGATTTTGCTTCTAGGGCGTACCACTACACAGTTCCGTGCTGCGGCTCAACAGATAGGGGATCTTAGTAATAGTGGAAAGGATGTGCAATAACCTCAATCCGACATCTCGGTAAGTAGCTGGATTTGAAAACAAATCTGAGACTAAAAATGGGTCAGCAGTAATCCTTGCTTTGACGGGAACTCCACACATAGTTAAATTGATTTCAGGAATGATTGCCTGTTTCGCTAGTCGCATTAGGCATCTGGTCTAGCTGACACTATTCTGGTGACACTGTCATCAAACTACATGTCGATTTGGTGACGGCTTTCAGGTGAACATTGCAACAGAAGCAGCGAAATTTGGTTGCTCAAGTTGAGGATCAACACGGATGTCTATGACTAGAAGCTAGCCAGTCAAATCAAAATGAGTAAAGTGATGGCGTAACAAAATCATTTTCCCGTATATCGAACATCCCAGACATTATCCAGTTGGCAAAATTGACCAGGGTACCTGAAAAGTGGGCTGAGTCCTGTTTGGTCTGTTTCGAGTCGTGTGAAGCGGCCCGGGCCAGATATAAGATAAGCGCTATTCATCGCCGAGATTAACGCTACTTGCCGGACGTTGAAAATTATGATTGTACTCTTCTGAACAAGTCTCTGGTGCAACCTCTTAGCAAGGTGGCTCAGTGGTCAGAGGTAGAATTCACTGACCGGAACGTGGTTCGAACCCGACCTCTGCATCTCGACTTCTCTTGTCTAGGCTTTGGCAACTTGGCGGTATCCCAACCCTCGTTATTCCTTCGGGTGTTATGGCAGCTAGGCACTGAGAGATTGTTAAAGCTGGATTATTATGTAACCTGATCGATTCAATTGCGTTTCCCTTGTTGAGCCGCCTGTGTCTAGTGTGTGCCGGGACAGTATTCTTCAATCGTCTGCCCCTTCGAGTTGTATGGTAGTTGGGCACCGAAATGGTTATTTTTTTTAACCATTTCTCCTATGTACATTGCGTCAGAGCTTCCACCGTGAATATCGTAGACGCATTGTTTCCTACCCCCGCTGGTTTAAAGTATTCCGGAAATACCAATTGTACCTTCGGTGTTGTCAAACCTCGTCTGGTTCCGGAGCAAAAGTTCGACTAGAGTCTTTGGAATTCGTCTGCAGATTCCTTCACCATATATGAAGAGTTTGTTTTCCTGATTTCTGCCTTAGTTTTCTCTCGTTCTTGACATTCTCGAGGAAGGAGATAGGCTACTCGTTGGTTTTCATCATACCTTTCGTGAGTCGCACACACTACCTTCAGAGTTATTGCCAGAGTTGATCTTATTTTCTCTGAGAACTAGATCTTGTAGCTTAGTGACCTTAGTAAAGCAAATGTAATTTAAATTGTCAATCAGAATCGGTAATTACATACTTGAAACCACTCCAGTTATTGAAAAACAACTAGAAAGACTGACTGTAAGTTGATGACCATTTGCGCCGCAAGGAACACCTCTGTATTCTTTGTTGCGTCCCTGTTATTTTGTCACCAATCTGACAATGGCAAACACGCGGTGGAAACCCAAAAGCGTTCAGCAACTTGGAATTTAGGTATCCCAGATTAATACTCACCACTGATGGTTGGATCGAGAGCCCACGGTTACCTCGTTTGTCTGATACCTTTGAAGGTTGGGCCTACCTGATGAGCTTCAAGAATGGCGAAGCTGGTCGTAAGCTGTTGAAGAATTTTCAGACACCTTATGAGTAGTGTATTACGTTTATAAAAGAAATACGTCTCTGTGTAAACAAAAATCGTCGGGCTGAACAGGAAACACGATATGCGGGCTAGTACACTTACCTAAACAAGCTAATATCCATGTTCACATGCAATGGACATGATTCTCCGATGAGCTAACAAAAATCAAATGTGAAAGAATTGTCAGGGTTGTTGACGTCCTGACGAAGTTATAAGGACAACACAGAAATCCATTTTACATGCTCCATTTGGTGGCCGCATAATCTTAGGTTTTGATACGCCCGAAGTACAGTTCTTCCTTACGAAAACCTTGGGGTGGCCACTAAGTAGCTGTTGTACAGGATGTAGTTAGGCTACTCCATTCAAACACAACTACGCAAGTCTTCCAGCGTCAGTGAGCTGTTAGTTCCAAGGGTGGCCCACAAGAAGATGGGTCGTACATGGATCCCCAAAAGTAAACCTTTTTTCACGCCCCCTGCTGTATGTCACAGATAGTAAAAGTGACAACTTTTTTCACTTAAGCAGTCAGCAAATTTCACCTCTTGATGTTGCCGATGATATCAGCAGATACGCAGTGCTTGAGTACCTTTTGCTCCTGTATTCTGACGTGTGACTGTGAGTCTGGATTTCATGATCGGGTAGACTAATTTTGTATACACGGTACAACTCACTCGTTTAGTAAACTGTTCAACAAAATTTTTCCCTGTGAAAACGGTGGAACATGAAGCAAAACGAGATCAAAAGATTGTTCACCAACCCTGACGCACAACTAGCTTGCAACAACCCTGTACGAACACATGACGGTCTGCGTTTCTACGCTGTGTGGATGTCCACATAGTTTGGAAAAAAGGGGGGTTAATTGAGGTCTAAAAGAATGGAGACTCATTATCACCATTATCGTCAGCTGTAATAACCACGTACTTGTCGTACAGTGGTTGTGGCTGCCGCAGGTGCGTTCACCGATGATTCAGGAAGGTGGGGCAGGTAGCTACACACTGGAGGCGGGAGCTGGTAAATTCGTGCGTAAATACAACACTGTAGGTGAACTTTTAATTGGGTGGATTGGGAAGGAAGCTATGCGCTGAAGGCATTAGCCTGGGTGCATGAGCGCCATTGAGGGCGCGACTGGACCATGTCTGACAATTCTCTAACCATTGATATGGACCGTCTCGGTGTCCCCATCCAGGAAGACCGCAATGCCCAGTGCGGTTGAGTGTGCTGGTAATGGCTTTTACGCTTTGCTGCCAGGTCATTGTTTGACCGCAGTGAAGAATGGAATGTGTGAGAAAACAGGGGCCTGGTTTGGTTCGGCTTTCATTGAATACCTCCAAGCACAATCGCACTGCGTTATCCGATAGTTTTAAATTCCATACATACATACATACATACTCGCCGTCTGTTGTTTCAACGGCATCATGTTTGGGCTGGCTAATAGCTTGCACAGTCCTTTGCACGACAGTGTATTGATCACATTTCCTCGGGTCTACATTGGCATCTAGGGCTCGCATGCAGGACCGAATTTGGTTGCACAAAGTATCTGTAGTTTCCCTACTATGTGTAGGCGTTAACAGTAGTTTGAATGCTTATAAATAGCAAATTCGATTCGGATGCCAACCATTCTAAAGGACAACAGTGATAGTAAGGACGGGAGCATCAAAGACAGTCTCGTGAAATCCTCTTTGTTAAAGACATCACCGTTCACAAAACGCTAACAAGAACACTGACACCGGTTCAGAATTGGTACGCATCTTTAACATATCGTTTTGGTTAGACATACAGAGGAGGACTACATTAGAGTCCCTCGTTTTACGGAAATTCATAGAACTGGGACTCAAATAATCAACTATGTACTTACCTCATGTACAACCTTCCTTGCATGCTCCTTTTCTATGTTGGAGAAATACCCTCTGCAGTCGTAGACAACTTCTTCAAGAAGCATCCGATATTTCTCCCAATGACCGAATGTTCCTTGAAACACGATCAGCCAGAACATGATAAAAGTGAAGGCGAGACAATCAGGTCGGACCGAAGGGTACAGTTTTGTTCCCATTCGCATGGTCTGTAATTTATACGATGAAAGTTATCCTGAAAGGATGACCAGTCACGAAAGTAACAAGACTACTTTAAACAGTAGAGATGAACTGTTCCAGATTGGCCGTTTTTTATATTCTTTTTTTTGCACTCGTTCAGTACTATGCAGAGTGGTATTTATCCCATTCAAGTGTGTAGCTGTAGCTGTGTTTTTCAACCTGACCGGGATTTGATGAGCAGTTTCAGTATTTGAAAAATTTCGCAAAGCACCATTTAGACTGTGTGTGCATCCAGCCCTATGTCCGATTGCTGCGTTTACTGAAGCTACGCACCAAAATGTATCTGCTCAATGTGATTTTCATGTCTTTGTTGCAATTGCAGTTGTGTGGAATATTAGCATGAGCTGTTATCCTATTTAGTAAATTATACAAATTATTACTAAATTAAATTTATTAAATTATTATTACTTTCTTATTTTTTATTATTATCAAAATTAAATTATTGAATTAAATTATACGACTTCTTATAATTTCTCGAATTCCAACCCACGTTTGGATGGAGGGGTTTTGAATTTTAAAAGAGATAAATTTATATCACTCCTCTGGTGCTGGAGAGTTTTCCGAACAATGGTGATGTGACTGAAAATTCTAAAAATCCTGAAACCACCTACAACCGGTTCCTGCAGTCCATCCCCTTGTGATATTTCGGTAGGGTACTCCGAAGACAACGGCAGTGCGCCAGGGCACACTTTGAGAACGCTTTATTTTCACGCGTCTGTTTTTTTTAAAACAACATGTTTATACAGTTGGCTGTTGATTAGGCAACAGTTGATCCGTTCACCCAGCAGGTTCGCAAACGTTTCGTAACCATGCGAGAGGATATTACCACTGCGCATCCCTGGTATGTAATAGACATGCTGGGATCGAAACATCGAGTTTACGAGATAACTGGACAGTTGTGTAGTGTGTTTTCCAGCTTTTCGAAGTTTTTACGGTATACAGAGCATCGAATTTGCGGGTTAGACAATATGCCATGCAGTGACGAATCAGTTCAAGAAGATGCTGTATCAAACCTTAGTAATTAGAGAAGTCTTCACAGAAGTGACTGTTCCATTTATTAGTTAGTATCATGCCAAACATAGGATCCGAATCGAGGATGACTCAGGAGCAAACTGACTGCTGTAAGTAGTGAGTAAGACCCACGAACGGTAAGACGAAGGTGTTCATATATCCTAAGCACTTGTGAAAGCTTCCAGTAAACGAACTTCGTGATCAGTAATCCAAACTGCTTTTTGTACACGTTACGGTAGTTTCAGATATCCGTTTCCGGTTTCCTCATGCAAAATCGTGCTTATATGTTTTGAAAGACTGAAAATCCATGGTAATTCACGTTTCACAAGTGTTGGGATAGACTGGAACTCAATGCCATGAATAAACCGATTGCATACACTTGAATTGAGCAACAGGTGTTGAGCGCTTGAAGTCACGCAGGATGTAGGAAACTTGCTCCAATAGCACACACTGAATCGTGCCCGAATGCATCCAGTTCACCATCCTCATCACAATCATCATCATCATCATCATTATCATCATCATCATCATCATC